CTCCCTCCCTCCTGTCCTTTAGATAGTTAAAACCTCCTTATGGAGAGTAGTACAGGGCAACATGCAGCTGGATTATGATTTCGGGTCTACGTGCAATGTTTAACAGCTTATTTAATGTGGTTTTCCCTTGGTTTTCTAGTTGTGTCCGACTCTCAGGGTGGTGCTCACCTCCATTCCTAAGCTGAAGAGCCGGCGTTGTTCATAGACATCTCCAAGGTCATGTGGGCAGCATGACTGCATGGAGCGGATACCTTCCTGCAGAAGTTGTACCTATTGACCTACTCACATTTGCATGCTGTTGAACTGTCTGCTTGGCAGAAGCTCACCCTGAGCCCCGGATTCAAACTGCTGACTTTTCAGTCAGCAAGTTCAGCTGCTCAGTGCTTTAACCTACTGTGCCACTGGGGGCTCCATTTAATGTATTTATATGTAATTTTTTCATGATTTTAAAAGATTTTAATGCACAATGTATTTGTATGTTTTATGCTTAATGCAGCATTGAATATTGCCAATTTGGAAGCTGTACTGAGTCCCCTCCAGAGTTGAGGTAGAACAGGGTAGAAATGCAGTAAATAAAATAAATCAATAAATGTTCTATCTCATATTATTGTATTTTGATTAGTGCATAGATTTTGATATGGTTCCAATCATATGCATTTTGAAAGTGGTGCAGTTATGGGGAATGGCCATAGAATTGTTGCCATATATTAGTGACCAGCTGTTAGGAATTGTGGAAGTCCAAAACACCTGGAGGGCCAAAGTTTGCCCATGCCTGATCTAGATCCTTTGTTAACAGCTAGTTTAACTTCTGTTATAATGTGGGTTGTAGGCTGTATATGTTAGCTACTCTGAGTCCCTTGATAAGGGAGAAAGGGAGAGATATAAAACACAGTAAATAAACATATTCAAAGCAACCAACACCCCAAAAGATGAGGGAAAGGTTACATAAGGAACAAGCAATCCTTTTATACCAGTGGTTCTCAACTTCCTAATGCTGCGACACCTTAATACAGTCCTCATGTTGTGGTGATCCCAAAACACAAAATTATTTTTGTTGCTACTTCATAATAGTAATTTTACTACAGTTATGAATCGCAATGTAGATATGTGATACTAGCCGTCCCCTACCACGCGTTGCTGTGGCCCAGTCTGTGTATATGTATTTTGCATGTGTATATATGTGTGTATGACTATGTCTGTGTGTATGTGTATTTATCTATTTGTATTTTAATCTTGTATTGTTGTATGATGTTTTAACTTGTATTAGTAGCATTGAATCCTTGCTGTAAGCCGGTCTGAGTCCCTCTACAGAGGTGAGAAGATCGGGATATAAAAGTTTTAAATAATAATAATATGTGGTTTTGCGCATTCATTGTAATGTATTTTTAATTTTTGGCTTTTTAAGTCCCTTCTGTGGTGTTTTTCAGGTTTTATGAGTGATGGGTCACTTGTTAGCCTGATAGGTGACTTGTGTCCGAATTTGATGTCAATTCACACAGTGGTTTTTGAGTTACGTTAATCCCACAAACGAATATTACATTTTTATATAGAAGATGCAGGATGTATTTTCATTCACGGAACGAAATTTGGCACAAATGCCCAATACGCCCAAATTTGGGTTTGGGAGGGTGATTTTGACATTTTGGAGTTGTAGTTGCTGGGATTTGTAGTTCACCTACAACCAAAGAGCATCTGAATTCCAACAATGATGGAATTGAACCAAACTCTCAAGACCAACAGAAAATACTGGAAGGTTTTGTTGGGCATTGACTTTGAGAGTTGTAGTTCACCTGCATTCAGAGAATGTGGACTCAAACAATGATGGATCTGGACCAAACTTGGCACGAATATCCAATATGCCCAAAAGTGAACACTGGTGGAATTTGAGGAAAATAGACCTTGACAGTTGGGAGTTATAGTTGCTGGGATTTATAGTTCACCTACAATCAAAGACTCCAGCAAAGGATCACCGCCTTGTCGGGGCGCTGGAGCTTGAGCACCTCAATGATGTCATGAGCGAAACCGTGAAGGGCCACCCAAGACGGGACGGTCGTGGCAGAGAGGTCAGACCAAGCGTGATCCCTGGGGAAGGCAATGGCAAACCACCCCAGTATCCTTGCCAAGAAAACTAAATGGACCAGTACAACCAGAGATATGTCGGTATGCCATTGGAAGATGGGACTCCCAGGTTCGGAAGATGGCCAAAATGCTACTGGGGAGGAGCAGAGGATAAGTTCAACTAGCCCCAGATGTGATGACGCAGCTAGCTCAAAGCCGAAAGGAAGGCTAGCGGTCGACGGTACTGGAGGTGAACGACGAATCCGATGCTCTAAAGATCAACACACCATAGGAACCTGGAATGTAAGATCTATGAGCCAGGGCAAATTGGATGTTGTTATTGGTGAGATGTCAAGACTAAAGATAGACATTCTGGGGGTCAGCGAACTGAAATGGACTGGAATGGGCCACTTCACATCAGATGACCACCAGATCTACTACTGCGGACAAGAGGAACATCGAAGAAATGGAGTAGCCTTCATAATTAATAAGAAATTCGCTAAAGCGGTGCTTGGATACAACCCAAAAAATGACAGAATGATCTCAATTCGAGTGCAAGGAAAGCCTTTCAACATTACAGTGATCCAAATATACGCCCCAACCACAGCTGATGAAGAAGCAGAAGTAGATCAGTTCTATGAGGATCTGCAGGACCTACTGGATAATACACCAAAAAGCGACATTATTTTCATTACAGGAGACTGGAATGCCAAGGTGGGAAGTCAAATGACAACTGGGATCACAGGCAAGCATGGTCTGGGAGAACAAAATGAAGCGGGACGCAGGCTGATAGAATTTTGCCAGGAAAACTCGCTGTGTATAACGAATACTCTTTTCCAACAACCTAAAAGACGGCTTTATACATGGACCTCACCAGATGGTCAACACCGAAATCAGATTGACTACATCCTTTGCAGCCAAAGGTGGCGGACATCCATCCAGTTGGTGAAAACAAGACCTGGGGCTGACTGTAGCTCAGATCACGAACTTCTTATTGCTCAGTTTAGAATAAAACTAAAGAGATCAGGGAAAACACACAGACCACTTAGATATGATCTCACTAACATTCCTAGCGAATATACAGTGGAAGTGAAGAACAGATTTGAAGGACTAGAACACTTTGTGGCCCCATTTCTTGAGGTTGGCTCTGCATCTCGTGGTGCCAGAGCGCAGTCTGTTCAGTGCCTTCAAGTCGCTCAGTCTTCTGTGTGCCAATGGGGAGTCTCCATTTGGTATCAGCCATTGATTGAGGTTCTGGGTTTGAGCCTGCCACTTTTGGACTCTCGCTTGCTGAGGTGTTCCAGCGAGTGTCTCTGTAGATCTTAGAAAACTATTTCTTGATTTAAGTCGTTGACGTGCTGACTGATACCCAAACAAGGGATGAGCTGGAGATGTCTCTGCCTTGGTCCTTTCACTATTGGCTGCTACTTCCCGGCAGATGTCAGGTGGTGCAATACCGGCTAAGCAGTGTAATTTCTCCAGTGGTGTGGGGCACAGACACCCTGTGATAATGCGGCATGTCTCATTAAGAGCCACATCCACTGTTTTAGTGTGGTGAGATGTGTTCCACACTGGGCATGCGTACTCATAGCAGCAGAGTAGCATAGCGCAAGGGCAGATGTCTTCACTGTACCTGGTTGTGATCCCCAGGTTGTGCCAGTCAGCTTTCGTATGATATTGTTTCTGGCACCCACTTTTTGCTTGATGTTCAGGCAGTGCTTCCCAGAACAAATTATGAGAGGATTCAGAGCTGAGGGAATGGCTCTGTGGACTCCAAAGCCCATTCAGGCTGGAATTAAACCAGTTTCATGGATTCCAATGCCCATGAGGCTGAAGTCTAGCTTTCAGAGAAGGAATGCATGGCTTTGGGAGGAAGGCCACTGTAATTCTTCTTCTCCTGAGGGATAGATCCATTTTAATGACTGTATTCCTTTCGCCACCGCATGAACTCTCTGTCCTCAATTAACCTCCACCATTTTGGCTCTCGGCCGGAGTCCTGCGGCAAACAGCAACGCTAGTCCGCCATTTTGTGTCCCTCTCTTCTTCCGTCTCACTCTTTTCCCGCCCGCTGAGCTAACGCGCGAGGCGATTGGTCCAACTTCCACTCAGTCTTCCCGCGCGACGACGTGATTGGCTGCTTTTTCTCTCTCTCCCGCGCGCGCGCTGACAAGACTCCAGCCCCTTCCGCCATTGTCTTCCTTTAAGCCCGCCTCGGTGAGGCAATCTGCACCCCGATTGGTTAAACACCCACTCGTCCCGCCCACGCAGCAACATCATTGGTTACTTTCTATCCCTGCTCTTTCTTTTCCCCTTGCCCTTCCCCCGCCCCTCGGGTTTTTATGCAAATCTGAACTGAATTCTTTGAGGCGATTGGACGAAGCGAGGAAGGAGAGAACCAATGGTGTTGCTCCGTGGGCGGGACGAGTGGATGTTTAACCAATCGGGGTACAGGTTGCAGAATTGTTATCCAATTCTGCAACCTGCACCCCGATTGGTTAAACATAGTTACTTTCTATCTTTGCTCTTTGCTTAACCGCCGTCTGTTGCCCTCCCCTCCCCCGCCCCTCGGGTATTTATGCAAATCTTCGAACGGAATTCTTTGAAGCGATTGGACGAAGCAAGGAAAGAGAGAACTGTGTTATCCAATTGTGGCCGATTATGCAAATAAAAGGGGCTGGGGAGGCATCCGATTGGCTCCGGGTCGAGACTCGCGCTGGGAGGGATGAAAGTTCTGGAAAGGAGGAAGTCGAGGAAGCCGGCCGGCTCGGGGTGACGCACTCGCTCTCTCAATCCCCCCTCCCCTTTCCTTTGTTACGTCACAGAACGTTTCGTCACCTCCGCGGCCATTGGTAGAGGAGGCGGGGAGAGGCGGGACAAGCCGTCCCTTGCGGCGTTGTAATTGGGTGAAGCGCCGGAAAGGGGCGGGGCCGTTCTGGAATCTTCTTCAGTGGTATATAAACACTGGGCTCTGGGGGAGGAAGTCGCTTTCTCTTCGGCGAGCCTCGTGGCAGCTTCTCCCTCTTGTTTAGTGAGGCGGTGCGGACCAAGCAGGTAAAACCCTCTCAAACAACCTTTTATTTAGTGTAATTTATGTAATTTATTGTTATATTTCGTTATATAGGTTGCTTTTGAATTTTCCCTTAGTCATTTCCAGAAGCATTGTCTCCTGACATTTCGCCTCCAGTTATAGCAGGGTCGTTTTTGAGTTTTCCCTTATTTAGCCACTTCCAGAAGCATTCTCTTCTGACATTTTGCCTCCATTTATAGCAGGGTTGTTTTTGAGTTTTCCCTTTAATTTAGCCATTTCCAGAAGCATTCTCTTCTGACATTTCGCCTCCATTTATAGCAGGGTTGTTTTTGAGTTTTCCCTTTAATTTAGCTATTTCCAGAAGCATTCTCTTCTGACATTTCGCCTCCATTTATAGCAGGGTTGCTTTTGAGTTTTCCCTTATTTAGCCACTTCCAGAAGCATTCTCTTCTGACATTTCGCCTCCATTTATAGCAGGGTTGCTTTTGATATTTCCATTATTTAGCCATTTCCAGAAGCATTCTCTCCTGACATTTCGCCTCCATTTATAGCAGGCAATCCTGAGAGGTGGTGAAATCTGTTGTAAACTAGGAAAATTGGGTTTAAATATCTCTGAAATAATGTCCAGGGTGGGGAAAAGAACTCTTGTCTGTTTGAGGCAGTCCCCCCCCCCTTGATTAGCATTGAATGCCCTTGCAGCTTCAAGGTCTGGCTGCTTGCTTCCTGGGGAGATCCATTCTTGGGAGGTGTTAGTTGGTCCTGAATGATGCTTGTCTGGAATTCCCCTGTTTTCTGAATGTTCCTCTTCTATTACTGTCCTGATTTTTGAATTTTTAAAATGCTGGTAGCCAGATTATTTTCATGGTTTCCTCCTTTCTGTTAAAATTGTCACATGCTTGTGGATTTCTGTGTAGACTGTAATGCTGGACCACTCTAACAGCCACCATGTCACTACACAGAGAAGACATTGAAATCCACAAGCATGTGGACAATTTCAACAGAAAGGAGGAAACCATGAAAATGAACAAAATCTGGCTACCAGTATTAAAAATCAAAAATCAGGACAGTAATTAAAGAGGAACACTCGGAAAACAGTTATTCCGGACATGAAACAATCAGGGCCAGCTAACACCTCCCAATTTATTGGGAGGTGTTAGCTGGTCCTGAATTATTCTTGTCTGGAATTCCCCTGTTTTCTGAATGTTCCTCTTCTATTATTGTCCTGATTTTTGAATTTTTAAAATGCTGGTAGCCAGATTGTGTGTTCATTTTAATGGTTTCCTCCTTTTTGTTCAAAATTGTCCACATTATTGTGGATTTTAATGGCTTCTCTGTATAGTCTGTCATGGCTGGACCACAATCTGGCTACCAGTGTTTAAAAATGCAAAAATCAGGACAGTAACTAAAGAGGAACACTCGGAAAACAGTTATTCCAGACATGAAACAATCAGGGCCAGCTAACACCTCCCAATTTATTGGGAGGTGTTAGCTGGTCCTGAATTATTCTTGTCTGGAATTCCCCTGTTTTCTGAATGTTCCTCTTCTATTATTGTCCTGATTTTTGAATTTTTAAAATGCTGGTAGCCAGATTGTGTGTTCATTTTAATGGTTTCCTCCTTTTTGTTCAAAATTGTCCACATTTTTGTGGATTTTAATGGCTTCTCTGTATAGTCTGTCATGGCTGGACCACAATCTGGCTACCAGTGTTTAAAAATGCAAAAATCAGGACAGTAATTAAAGAGGAACACTCGGAAAACAGTTATTCCAGACATGAAACAATCAGGGCCAGCTAACACCTCCCAACAGGATTCCCCCAGACTGGAATCAGCCAGTCTTTGAAGCTGCAAGGCCAATCAGTGCTAATCAAGGTGGCCAACTGCAACATTCACACTTGCTTCAAGCAGACAAGTTCTTTCTTTCTCCCACCTTGAGCATCATTCCACAGATATACAAATCTTACTGGCCTTGGGTTGTTGTAGGTTTTTTTGGCGTAGTCACTACCTCTGAGGATGTTTGCCATAGATGCAGGCAAAACGTCAGGAAAAAATGCCTCTAGAACATGGCCATATAGCCCGAAAAAAACTACAGCTACCCCGTGATTCTGGCCACGAAAGCCTTCGACTTACTTGCCTTGTTTCCAACAGACCTTACAACCTCTGAGGTTGGCTGTGATAGATGTAGGCAAAATGTAAGGAGAGAATGCTTCTAGAACATGGCCATACAGCACAGAAAACTCACAGTAACCCAGTGATTTTGGTCACGAAAGTCTTTGATAACACTTAAAATGATATTTTAAAAGGTTCAAGGAGAGGAATAAAAGGTTGGCTGCCCCCTCCCTTTTCCCCCCTCTTAATTGGTCTTTTTTCCTTAATAAATCAATTTTAAAAGGGATTCAATAATGTTCCTTATTGATGTGGCAATTGATAAAAGTCCTTCAAAATGTACATTTTTTTCCTTCCCCCTTTTTATGATAATAAAATCAGAAAACTGAGGCCATTGTCCTTTTCGATTTGCTCTGTTCTTAACTGCGTTTTCCTCTACGTCGCCATCTTTCTCCCAATCTTAAAAGAATTCCATTGTATTATTTGAAAGTTAATCTTCCTTTGTAGGGAAAAAGCAGAGCTCCAAAAGCACAGAAGCGGCATACATTTTGCTTTGCTGGAGAAAAGGAGGAAACAAAATGGAGACTAGGAAGGAAAAGGAGGAGGAGGGGGTCCATAGGAGCAAAATGAGGCTCTGTATTGCAAAGAGGAAGGAGCCCTCCCATTCAGAGGAAGGCGCTTCTGCCACATTTGGCATGCATTTCTTGAATGGCTGCCAGGCTTTTTTTTCCTTTGGAGAGAGGAAGAAAACACTCCCATTATGAAACGAGGGCCGTACAACTCATTCCCTGTTTTTTAATAAAAGAAGATTTTTTTAGTCTTTTTTGGGGGGGGCATTTAGAGTCTGAGGAATTCAGCAAAACGTCCATAGAAGGCACAAAACCACACATTAAGGCGATGGGGAAGCTTTCATTTTATGTATTTTTCCTCATTCTTTCCCAAAATCCAAAAGAAGTGTCTACACTGCTATATAATGCAAATTTAACTGTATTGGACAGCGATGTAAGACACCCATAATCCAATTAAATTGTTTAAATTGATATGCTAATAGTTTACATTGATATATCATGTTTATTATTATATATGTAGTGCGGCATTGTATGCCATGGCCTGTAAGCCACCCTGAGTCCCACATTGGGATGAGAAGGGTGATGCATATAAAATAAAATAATAATAAAATAACAATAATGCTGTTAAACCGCATTATATAGCCGTGCAGATGATGCTAGGAGTTGGGAGAAGGTTTTTGAGGTGACCTTAAACTAAGTTATTCTCTAATTACTATTTTGGCTTTTTAGTATCTGAAATTTCAACCTAGTTTCTAATGATCTTAAATGTATTTTATGAGACTAACACACTGTATGCTGGCCCGTGCTTGAGGTGACCTTCAAAGAGCAGAGGAGTCTTTAAAACCCAGGGATAAAAGCTGCAGTAATGCAGACTTGTTTGGAGAGCGGGTTGAGGACTAGGGGCTTGTTTCCTCTGAAACAGCTTAATTAACAGATCTGGGGTGCTTTGTTCAAAGGGGGGCACTCTTGGAATTAATGCAGTTGAACACCATTTTAACATGCTGTGGAATTTCCTGCCCAGGAGGGTTTGATGCCTCACCAAACTACAGCTCCCAGGATTCTATTGGGCCATGGAAATGATTTCAAACTGCATTAAATCCACAGTGGAGATAATGCTCTGAGAAAGACATAGTCTTTTCTCAAAGGTGTGGCTTCCATGATCCATTTGCACACTGTTGCTCTCCCCCCCCCCCCCCCCCCCCCACACACACACACATAAGATGGTTACCTAACAATGAATAGTCCTCCATTTCCTTGCCTCTCCCTCCCATGTGCTCTCCAGCGCACTCTGCTGCCGGTTCCGGTGGCACACCAGAACACGTGGCCCAGGGCGGCATTGATGGCTCCTCCCTTTGCGGCCGGCCTCTTTCTTTCTTAGAAGGAAGACGTCATGGGTCTCTTCCTTTTCCTGGCCACATGGCAGCCTCCCAAGGCCACTCTGATCTTGGAAGGTCCGCCATTCATTCATTTGCATCCACGTGGCTTTTGGGTTTCGCAATCTAGGGCTGGGTGGCGCTAATGAGTCATGCAAGCAGGCCTCATGATGGGATATGGAATTTATTTATTATTTATTTGCCATATTTCTATACCACCCTTCTCAGCCTGAGGGCGAATCAGGACGGTTTACAAAACCAGCACAATTCGATGCCACAATAATATAAACAGGTAAAAGCATATAACATTCCATAAACAATAAAATCAATAAAATAATTGATTTGGAAACTGGTTTTTGCTATTATCTGTTTATCACAAATTTCTCTGTATTTTCCAGGTGTTTCATCTAGGTAAAATACAATACATTGACATGCCCCAGCAGCAGCTTTCCCTGTTGATTTCCCATTGCTTGCCTACCAATATATCTTCCCAAGACACATAGAATGCATTTACAGCTCTAACTAGGACCTTCACTAATTGTTATATCTACATAAAATCAAGATGATATTCCTTCATGCTTCAAAATTATACAAAACCCTCGGTCCACAAATAGTATATCTCTTTTCCTTAGTTATGAAATTAAAGAAAGGTTCCCAGTCATTTCTCACTTTGATCTAAGCATGGGTGCACTTTGGACTTCAACTCCCACAATTCCTAACAGCCAGTAAAATGGCTGGGATTTCTGGGAGACATCCGAAAATACCTGGGGAATCAAAGTTCGCTGTTGCCTTAAAAGTAAAGTTCATTCTGGATGTTACTATAAGTAATTTCTATTATATCCAAAAGAAGAATTCCTTGGCTCATTGCAGTTCCTCACCCTCAGTTATATTAATTGGTGCCAAATCTGGCAAAACAAAGAGCATATTGATTTTTAAGCATGCTATTAGAGATATTCTAGTTAGAAGTATCATATTTTGGTTTGTGTGATTCAGTTTAGATTTTTTTAAAAAAAAACCCTATAGAATAATTAGCTCAGTTTTCTTTTGCCTCAGCATTTTATCTGCTTATATGCTTCGTTGCGTAATCTCCTGGCCTCTAAGTAGTAATCTTCTTTATCTTCACAGCAACCATGACTAATAAGGGACCTTCAGTTGGGATTGATCTTGGCACCACCTATTCCTGCGTGGGAGTCTTCCAGCATGGCAAGGTGGAGATCATTGCCAACGACCAGGGAAACAGGACTACGCCAAGCTACGTTGCCTTTACCGACACGGAGAGGCTTATTGGCGATGCTGCTAAGAACCAAGTGGCAATGAACCCCACAAACACAGTATTTGGTAAGAATGCTGTTGTCATGGTCTCAACTTACACTTTTTCAGATGCCACCAAATTTACTTAATCATTTACTTCAAATTGTTCTCAGCCCTTCCCTTAAGTGTTAGTTATATGTGCACTACTTAGAAGAATGCTGAAGGAGTATTGGAGAGATGTTGGTAACGTTACCGTTTTCCCACAGTGTTTTTAAACTCTTAATAGTGGGATGAATTCATGTTTCCTTCAAGTGCTTTTTTATAATGTCTATCATCCAGCAAAGTTGTACTGTGAGGCACTATTTGGCAATTGGTAAATTTTCTAGGAAACTGATAATGCAATAGGAATATGCCCCTTACATTTTTGTAAAGGGTTTACTAATTTGCTATATTGCATAGCTTGAGAAAATACATATTTATTTGTGTCATTTATATGCCTCCCCTTCTCACGCCGAAGGGGACTCAAAGCAGCTTGCAAGATATAGAGCCCCCGGTGGCGCAGTGGGTTAAACCCCTGTGCTGGCAGGACAGGTCGCAGGGTTGAATTCGGGGAGAGGTGGATGAGCTCCCTTTGTGAGCTCCAGCTCCCCAATTGGGCACATGAGAGAAGCCTCCCACAAGGATGATAAAAACATCAAATCATATGGGCGTCCCCTGGGTAATGTCCTTGCAAACGGTCAATTCTCTCACACCAGAAGCGACTTGCAGTTTCTCAAGACGCTCCTGACACAACAAAAAAAGGATAATATATATACACACACGCAATACATTATACCATTAGCACAGTACAATATCGGCGCTATACATCACTATATTGTACTATATAATTATATTGTAATATTAGTAATATTACATGTAATATAAAATATATCATTATAATATATTATTAGTATTATACTATATTACATTATAATATAAATTTTATATGCATATACAATATATTATATATTGGCATAGCACAAAAATTAAGAAACACATGGTAGTTATGTTGCATGCCTGCAATTTGGGATGTTCTTCACCATTGGCTATACTATTTGGGGCTGCTGGGAATTGTAGTCCCCCAACAGATTGTGGCCCCATCTACACTTCCATTATGATGCAGATTGGACTGCATTTTATATATATGGTCAGTATAGACTCACGTAATCCAGCTCAATGCACTTAAACTGCATAATAATAATTTACGTTCTGCCCTATCTCTCCTGGGGGACTCATGAGGTTGCATCAGAAGTGTCAACCTTATTGGCCTTCCAGGTGTTTTGGACCAGGTCTCAGAATTTTTGGCCATTGGACAAACTGGCTGGGGTTTTAGGAGTTAGAGGGCCACAAGTTTGTCACATCTGGTCTGCACTGACCATGTAATGCAGCCTTTGTGTAAGGTAACCTCCTATGCCAGTGGTTCTCAACCTGGCGTCTCCAGATGTTTCTGGCCTACAACTCCCAGAAATCCCAGCCAGTTTACCAGATGTTAGGATTTCTGGGAGTTGAAGGCCAAAAACATCTGGGGACCTACTGGTTGAGAACCACTGTCCTAGGTCTTTATTTATAAGCCACACTGGATAGTGCAAGGTATTAAAGATAAGCATGCATTTTAAAAGTAGAGCAGGCATTGCAAAGGCCCTGCTAACTCACTCACTTGCAATCTCCACAGATGCAAAGCGTCTGATCGGTCGCCGGTTTGATGACGCCGTGGTCCAGTCTGACATGAAGCACTGGCCTTTCACTGTAATAAACGATGCAGGCCGGCCCAAGGTTCAAGTCGAGTACAAAGGAGAAACAAAAAGCTTTTACCCAGAGGAAATATCCTCCATGGTGCTAACCAAAATGAAGGAGATTGCCGAAGCGTACTTGGGAAAGGTAAGGCTTGTCAGAATTCACCAGGTGAAGATTGGTTTTTGAACTGTAGCAGACCTATTTCATGTAAGTGTGTTGTTGCTTTCAGAATGTTACGAATGCCGTGGTCACAGTCCCAGCCTACTTCAATGACTCCCAGCGCCAGGCTACAAAAGATGCGGGAACCATTGCTGGTCTCAATGTGCTCCGGATCATTAACGAACCAACCGCTGCTGCTATTGCTTATGGCTTGGATAAAAAAGTAAGTGTGAGAAGGCAGCCTATCACCCTGTGTATACCAGCAATCCTCTGCTTGAAGTCAAAACAGGCATGGGCCAGTTTCAGCCCTTGCTGTTAGGAATTGTGGGAGTTGAAGTCCAAAACACTGGGAGGGGAGGGGAAAACTAAGCCCATGCCTGATACGTAACATACTCTTTTGTCTGTATTTGTGCATTGTAGGTTGGTGCTGAGAGAAACGTCTTAATCTTTGATCTGGGAGGCGGCACCTTTGATGTCTCCATCCTCACCATTGAAGATGGCATCTTTGAAGTCAAGTCCACGGCAGGCGACACCCACTTGGGTGGGGAAGACTTTGACAACCGCATGGTCAACCATTTCATTGCAGAGTTCAAGCGGAAGCACAAGAAGGACATCAGCGACAACAAGCGCGCTGTCCGCCGCCTCCGCACGGCCTGCGAGCGCGCCAAGCGCACCCTGTCCTCCAGCACTCAGGCCAGCATCGAGATCGACTCCCTGTACGAAGGCATCGACTTCTACACTTCGATCACCAGGGCCCGCTTCGAGGAGCTGAATGCAGACTTGTTCCGCGGCACTCTGGATCCTGTGGAGAAAGCCCTGAGGGACGCCAAGCTGGATAAATCTCAGGTCCATGACATTGTGCTGGTTGGCGGGTCCACCCGAATCCCCAAGATCCAAAAGCTGCTCCAGGACTTCTTCAATGGCAAAGAGCTCAATAAGAGCATCAACCCGGACGAAGCAGTCGCGTATGGTGCAGGTAACAAGACAGTTAAATGCTTAACTCTCAAACAGATAGCACTTTTCTCCTCCTTTGGGTTTCTGTTGATTCCTTTCCTCTTTCCGTCTTTCTTCCTTCTCTTTTGTTCTCTTCTTCTAATTGAATGAACACAGTTAAATACTCAAATAAACATTGCACTTTTCTCTGCATTTTGGTTTTTGTTGACTCCTTCCCCCCTTTCCTTCCTTCCTTCTTCCTTTCCTTCCCTCCTTTCCTTCCTTCCCACTTCTCTCTGCATTTGGGTTTCTGTTGATTCATTTTCTTCCTTTTCCTTTCCCTCCTTTTTTTATTCCTCTTCTAATTGAATGAACCCAGATAAACACTTCACTCAAATACTGCACTTTTCTCTGCCTTCTCTTGACTCCTTTCTTTCCTTCTTTCTTTCCGTTCTCTCTCCTTTCCCGCCTTTTTCTTCTCTTCTTCCTCTTCTAATTGAATGAACCCAGTTAAATACTTCACTCAAATAAATATTGCAATTTTTCCTGTCTTTGGGTTTCTGCTGACTCCTTTTCTTTACCTCTTTCCTTCCTTCTCTTCTTCCTCTTCTAATTGAATGAACCCGGTTAAATACTTCACTCAAATAAACATTGCACTTTTCTCTGCCTTTGGGTATCTCCTGACTCCTCTTTTTTCTTCTCTCCCTCTTCTTTTCTCTCTTTCCATCTCTTTCCTCTTCTAGTTGAACGAACCCAGTTCAACTTCTAGTTTTCGTACAGTCCCTTAAGTGATGTTTAGGCCTTTGTTTATAGAGCCCAAATAATCAATGCTATTCGCCCTGATGATTGAGTCCAAAACCATTCGTAGTTTCCACCAGAAGCCAACTAATGATGGTCCAAACCTTCCTTGGATGTCTGAGCGAATAAGTAAAAAATATGTATTAGGATAGCACAGGATAAAAGCTGGAGTGTATATAATATTTCTTTTTTCCTCTACTCTTCCGTCTCCCTCTAGCTGTCCAAGCTGCTATTCTGTCTGGTGACAAGTCAGAAAACGTTCAGGACTTGCTGCTGCTGGATGTGACTCCCTTGTCCCTGGGCATTGAAACGGCCGGAGGGGTCATGACGGTCCTGATCAAGCGCAACACCACCATCCCCACCAAGCAGACTCAGACCTTCACCACGTACTCTGACAACCAGCCTGGTGTCCTGATTCAGGTATGGAGAGATGATAGTAAGAAGCTAGGCAGGAACTAGTTTTGATGGAACTGCAAAGTAATTTATTGCCTGAATGACTGGACGCAATGATGAAAGTGATCCAAAACCATTCGTAGTTTCCACCAGAGGTTGAAAGACCAATGTTGGCTTAAGTACCTTCCTTGGATGTCTGAGCGACCAGTTATTCAGTGTCCAGATTGTTTTAAAGTTCTCTTTTAAGTTTTCCTTGCTTTAACCCTCCTATGTCCTGTTTCTTTCCAGGTTTATGAGGGGGAGAGAGCCATGACCAAGGACAATAACTTGCTGGGCAAGTTTGAACTAACCGGCATCCCTCCCGCTCCGAGGGGCGTCCCTCAGATTGAGGTTACCTTCGATATTGATGCCAATGGCATCCTGAACGTTTCTGCAGTAGATAAGAGCACTGGCAAGGAGAACAAGATCACCATCACCAATGACAAAGGTAAGGCCTGGAGATCAGGATGACAGGGATCTGTATGGGTGCAAAGGGAGACTCAGCCACATCCTGCACAATCTTGTAGTCCTCATCAAGGACTTGGATATGCAGATGAGTCAGTTGGTAGGGAAAAGCCCTTCTCCCATTGGCTTTCTCTCCCTTTCCTATTGCCTATCATAGAATTGGAAGAGGCCTCATGGACCATCCATTCCAATCTCCTACCAAGAAGCGGGAATATCCCATTCCCAATCACATGGGATAAATAGTAAACAAAATGGCCTCCATCTCATAGAATCTTAAAGTTGGAAGAGATCTTGTGGGATGTCCAGTCCCAACTCCATTCCACCAAGAAGCAGGAAAATTGTATTCAAAGCACCTCTAACAAATGGCCATCTGTTTAAAAGCCACTACTACACCCCAGGGCAGAGAGTTCCACTGCTGAACAGCTCTCTCACAGTTAGGAAGTTCTTGTGGAATCTCCTTTCTTTCCTATAGTTTTGAAGCCATTGTTTGGGGCTCTAGTCTCCAGGGCAGCAGAAAACAATCTTGCTCCTTCCTCCCTATGACTTCCCCTCACATATTGATAAATGGCTATCATTCTTGTTAGACTGATGCATCGCAGGGACATGTCTTTTTTTGAGCACATGGCAAACCCTTGTGTCCTCCATTTTGTTCTCCTGTGAGCATGGAGAGAGAGACAAGATGTCTGCTGTTTTGAATAAAGTATTTAATATTTTTTAAAGCTTGATTCTGCTCTTTAAAGTTCAGTTGCTCTAATGCTAGCATGAGAAGCTTCTGATCTGCCAAACCGCTAATGCTGTTCTTGCTGCTTTACATTTTTGATTGCTTTCTCCCCTTTTGGAAATTAAATAGCTTCCCAGTTTGGCTTTAATCTTGCCTCGAAGGCCTTATTAAGCACTATAGCATGTCTTTAATTAAAGCAAGCTTATGTAAGTGCCTGTATATTTGGGATGTTGAGCGGTTTACTCAGTTCCGACCAGGACAACAATCCTGGTGGCGCAGTGGGTTAAACCGCTGAGCTGCTGAACTTGCTAACTGAAAGTTGATGATTCAAATCTGGGAATAGGGTGAGCTCCCACTGTTATCCCCAGCTTCTGCCAACCAAGCATCTTGAAAACGTGCTTATTTATTTACGGCATTTATATGCCGCCCCTCTCACCCCAAAAGGGACTCAGAGCGGCTTACAAGATCTATATACATACAATATATTATATTATTAGCATAGCACAATATCAGTATTATATTACTATATTGTAGTATACCATTGCATTGTAATATTATTAGTAATATTACATGTAATATAATATAAATAATTATAACTTTATATGATATTAAATGTATAATTATTACTTTATATAATTAATACTTTATATTACATTATATTATTAGAATAGCACAGGAGGCAAGGTGGAACTGTCCAAATGTGAGTAAATCATGCAGAAAGGTAATGGTGCTCCATGCAATCATGCCTCCCACACGGCCTTGGAGGTGTCTTTGGACAACGCCAGCTCTTCAGTTTAAAAATTGAGATGAGCACCAACCACTAGAATTGAATACAATTAGACTTAATGTAAGGGGATAGCTTTATCTTACTTGGTTCAAACCATTAAAATACCTGTTTTTTGTTTTGTTTTTTTTAATATAAAGGTCGTCTAAGTAAGGAAGATATTGAGCGCATGGTCCAGGAAGCTGAGAAATACAAGGCAGAGGATGAGAAACAGCGTGACAAAGTGTCATCCAAGAATTCCCTGGAATCCTATGCTTTCAATATGAAGGCCACCGTGGAAGACGAGAAGCTGCAAGGCAAGATCAGTGACGACGACAAGCAGAAGATCTTGGATAAGTGTAATGAGATCATTAACTGGCTGGATAAAAATCAGGTATGTGGTGCTATTGCAGGAATGTGTTACATACAAACATAGCCCACCCTTAATATAGCCCACCCTTGGGTCACAGCAGGAGTCAAATTAGCCGTTTCTTAAGCTCTCTGTGGCAACAGACATTATAACACAGTTGAATACATTATATAGATTCCAAGACTGCAGTCGCAATGATGAGAGTGATCCAAAACCATTCGTAGTTTCCACCAGAGGCTTCAAATCCAGTGATGGCTAAACACCTTCCTTGGATGTCTGAGCGACATTTTGCAGTTGTGTTCTGAGCCTGGGTTGTCCCAGCCCAGATACGGGCTAACTTTGGCCTTCCAAGTGTTTTGGACTTCAACTCCCCCAATCCCTAACAGCCGGTAGGCTGTTAGGGATTGTGGGAGTTGAAGTCCAAAACACCTGGAGGGCCAAAGTTGGCCCATACCCTGGTCCAACCCCACTCTCCTGACTAGACAGAGCAAACTAGCCTGCCAGATGTCAATATATCTCACCTCCAATCAGCTCTAGGCATGACGTCCAACGATGAGGACTATAGGAGTTGTAGTCCAGCATCTGGAGGGACACATCAAATGACATTGTGGGTCAGATTTAGCCCAAGGGCCTTGACTTTTAACACATGTTCTGACAGTATTGCCATAATCCTTCAAATTGAGGATTTACATACAACATGCTATGCAAATAGAATTTAAGGATGACTTAATAATGTCTTGTTTACAAGTTCTGAGTGGTTCAATAACCCTATGTAGCATGACTTTTGTTCCTGGGTTATAGTTGTCATTTTCTTATTGGTTCTATCATAAAAACATAGAAAAAGTTTGTTAAACTGCAAAATCTTCAGTTTTTGCAGGAGGGATATGCTGCAGCACATTTTGCTTTATGAATGCCTTGCTAGAGCAGGGGTCCTCAAACTAAGGCCTGGGGGCCAGATACGGCCCTCCAAGGTCATTTACCCGGCCTTCGCTCAGGGTCAACCTAAGTCTGAAACGACTTGAAAGCGAACAACAATCCCAAAAGCAGTCCTACACTTCCCATTGAAATACTAATAAGCTTATATTTGTTAAAATTGTTCTTTAATTTAATTATTGTATTGTTTTTAAGTGTTTTTACATGACAAATAAGATACATGCAGTGTGCATAGGAATTAATATTTTTTTCAAATTATAATCTGGCCCTCCAACAGTTTGAGTGGCTGTGACTTGGCCCTCTGTTCAAAAGGTTTGAACACCCCTATACTAGAGTCTCAACCAATTCCACCTACTTTGTGGCAGTCACAAAAAGTGAAGTTTCTGGAGTACAACTACTACTTACAGAATTTATGCAATGTTTATTTTTTAATTATAAGGGCCCCCCCCCCTGGTGGCACAGCGGGTTAAACTCCTGAACTCGCTGACCAAAAGGTTGGTGGTTGGAATTCAGGGAGCAGGGTGAGCTCCTGCTGTTAGGCCCAGCTGCTTCCAACCTAGCAGTTGGAAAAACATGCAAATGTGAGTAGATCAATAGGTACCGCATCTGCGGGAAAGTAACGGCGCTCTATGCAGTCATGCTTGCCACACGACGTAGAGGTGTCTATGGACAATGCCGACTCTTCGAAATGGAGATGAGCACCAATCTCCAGAGAGTGATACAACTAGACTTAATGTCAGGGGAAAACATTGTTTTAATTATGCTGTAATCTGCCACAAGGAGAGGCAAGTAAGAAATAAAATTATGGAATCTCCTTTCTTGTAGTTTAACACCATTGTTCCATTCCATGAAATGGAGGTGTATACGGACAACGCCGACTCTGGAGCACCAGCCTCCAGAGTCTGAAACAACTAGATTTAATGTCAGGGGAAAACGTTTACCTATGTTTTAATTATGCTGTAATCTGCCACAAGGAGAGGCAAGTAAATAAAATTATTTACTTTCAAGGTAAGGAATTCCAGAGTAAGGAAATTGCACTTTCAAGCCAGGAACATACTTTTTTCAGGTTTTCTTACATAGTGTCATTCTAGTATAATAAAATCTTTTGAGTTTTATATTATTATCGAGCTCCAGCTTTGTTTGGAGAGGTTTGCTGACTGTCGGGAACGATGTCGCATATTTTGGGTCTGTTTCTGACCTGTTTTTGGAGTTGCTGCAATTCTTGGGCAAGCAAGCATTCTTCAACTAATAGTAACTTGAAGCCATTCCTTGCCTTTCCCCCCTCTCTAGACGGCCGAGAAGGAAGAGTTTGAGCACCAGCAGAAGGAGCTGGAGAAGGTTTGCAACCCCATCATCACCAAGCTGTACCAGAGTGCGGGCGGGATGCCTGGTGGGATGCCCGGAGGCTTCCCTGGCGGCGGAGCTCCTCCCTCCGGAGGGGCCTCTTCTGGGCCGACCATCGAGGAGGTGGATTAAGCGGCCGAAGAAGACTCCATTCCAGTCCTGTGGGCGGGCGCCCCCGGACAGACCCGGACTCAGTTCGACTCCTAATACTTAACTTCAAGGGCATTCTTGATCATACTTGGAACCATGTGCACAGACAGGGAGGGAAGGCAAACATTTGCACTTTACCAGTACTGTAAAAACAAAAAGTTCAAATGCAAACTTGAGTCCTAATAAATGAAACTTATTTAATTGGCAAATTGATAAAACCTTGTGTTTGTTTTTCCTTGGCAGAACCACATAAGTAACTTATTTATTTATTTCCAGTAATTATATTCCGCCCTTCTCACCCCTCAGGGGACTCAGGGCGGATTACAATGTACATATACATGGCAAACATTCAATGCCATAGACACACAACATATATAGCCAAACACAGAATATTTAACATTCCAGCTTTTTCATGAGGTTATTCTGGCCACCAGGGGAGCTGTTGCTTCACCGTCCATTTGTGACACTGAGGAAGTACTTCCTCATTCTTTGCATGCTTGATACGAGATGTTTATGGCATCGTAAATTAGCTTCCCCACATAAGCGGTACCTAAATTTCCTACTTGACAGATGCAACTGTCTTTCGGGCTGCAAAGGTCGACAGCAAGCTCCACAAATTGATTGGAAGCTCACTCTGACCCAGGCTGGCTTTGAACTCATGACCTTTTGGCCACAGTCCAATTAGAGTGACTAGTAAGTCAACAGCCATTTTTGCATTTTACATAGCAAACTTAAGCTCAGTGCTCAATTTGTACTATATTCAATTAAGGCACACCAAAATTTCAAGAATAAGTAAGATACTCCTGCAATTCTCACCCATTTTTATGTATAGGAAAATAGTGTGTGTTAGAATTACACCTGCTATTTGAATATGTATTGCATCTCACACACTATTATATGCTAAACTCAAGCCATGAGGAGAGGCAGGCAAGAAATAAAACTTGCTGGATTGCTGTGACTTCCAGGCTGCCTGTCCATATTCCAGAAGCATTCCCTCCTTATATTTCACTCACATCTATGGCAAGCATCTTCAGAGGTTGTGAGGTCTATTGGAAAAGAGGCATGTGGGATTTATATATCTGGAATGTCCATGGCCTTGCAGCTTCAAAGCCTGGCTGCTTCCTGCCTGGGGGAATCCTTTGAAGTGTTAGCTGGCCCTGGTTTATTCTTGTCTGGAATTCCCCCATTTTCTGAGTGTTCTTTATTTACTGTCCTAATTTTAGAGTTTTTAAAAATACTGGTAGCCAGATTACATTCATTTCATGATTTCCTCCTTTGGAAACCATGCTGGAATTAGGGCCAGTTTACACCTCCCAACAAAGGATTTCCCCTAGGCAGGAATCTGCAAGGCTATTCAATGCTAATCGAGGCCGGTGGCGCAGTGGGTTAAACCCTTGTTCTGGTAGGACTGAAGACCGACAGGTTGGAGGTTCAAATCCAGGGAGAGTGCAGATGAGTTCCCTCTATCAGCTCCAGCTCTCCATGTAGGGACATGAGAGAAGTCTTCCACAAGTATGGAAAAACAACAAAACATCCGGGTGTCCTCTGGGCAACGTCCTTGCAGAAGGCCAATTCTCTCACACCAGAAGCGGCTTGCAGTTTCTCAAGTCGCTCCTGACACGTCCAAAGAAAAGGTGGCCAATTGCAACATTCACACTTGCCTCCAACAGACAGTTCTTTCTCCCACCCTGGACATTATTCCACAGATATATAGACCTCACTTGCCCTGTTTCCAACAGATCTCACAACCTCTGAGGATGCTTGGCATAGATTTGAGCGAAACGTCAGGAGGGAATGCTTCTAGAATATGGTCATACAGCCTGAAAAACAACCCAGTGATTCCAGCCATGAAAACCTTGATGGCCTGATGTTAATTCTCCCCTAATTTCTATCTGCCATCCAGTTGGTGACAAAAAAGTCACCAAAAAAGAGATCAATCAAAAAAGTGGACTGGAAACTTTTCAGTTTCTTTCCTATTATTGGACACAACTATAATAATAGAAGCCAATCCCTTCACAGTCATTATCCCAAAATACTTCAAACTTAGGAATAGAAGCCACAGTCTAATAGGATGTTTTATCCAAGTCTAGTTTTGCTGTTAATCAAAATGTCCTGTTTTTCTAGGTGGAAGGGTTGCATTAGAAATATGTAAGAAATTGTATACCCAAAAGCATGTTAACTGTGGGACGAAAGCCCCAGATTTTTAGGCTACTTGCAGTCTTTAATGTTAATTTGTTAGAGAAAATGTGTCTCATTCTCTGCCACAGAGGAAGGCAATGGCCTTTTATAGTTTCTGTTATATAAGCTTGCCTAGGAGGTGGTGCAGTAGGTTAAACCGCTGAGCTTGTTGACCAAAAGGTTGCAGGTTCAAATCCAAGAAGCGGCGTGAGCTCCTGCTGTTAGCCTCAGCTTCTGCCAACCTAGCAGTTTGAAAATGTGCAAATGTGAGTAGATCAATAGGTACAGCTTCTGCAGGAAAGTAACAATGCTCCATGCAGTCATGCTGGCCACATGACCTTGGAGGTGTCTACGGACGCCGCCGGCTCTTTGGCTTAGAAAGGGAGATGAGCACCTTCCCTGAGAGTCTGACATGACTAGACTTAATGTCAGAGGAAACCTTTACCTTTAAACAGAGGCTAGATGGCCATCTCTCAGGGGTGCTTTGATTGAGCTTCTCCTGCAAGGCAGGGCATTGGACTGTATGGCCCATGCGGTCTCTTCCAACTATTTTTATATGATTGTAGTATTTAAGGGACACAGTTCAGTACCTTGAACAATTCCTTTACTTTAGGACCATGGCCCCATCTAAAGCCATGGTCCCATAAGGTCAGTGTAGACTTATATAATGCAGTTTAACTACATTGGACTGCATTATATGAACATACGCTGGCCATTTATTGTATTATATGGCAATGTAGGTGGGGTAACAGACTGAATGTCAGGGGAATACCTTTAACCCTAGGAGGAAATACACTATTCTAATAATATAATGTACTATATTGTATATACATACAATATTGATAATATTATGTAATTCAATATAATACTATTAATAATATTACACAATATAGTAATATTTAATACTGATATTATACTATGCTAATAATATAATATATATTGTGTGTGTATATATCTTGTAAGCTGCTCTGAGTCTCCTTCAGGGTGAGAAGGGCGACATATAAATGTGATAAAAAAATATAAGAGCTTGGGCTCTTAATAAATGAGCATTTCAAATTTCTGTTAAATACCTGCCCAAAAATGGAAGTACTAAAACTAAGCCCTTTATAAGCGACCAGAACTCTTCATCCAGTTACATTTTTGGGGGAAAAAAACATTCAGGTATTTCGATTTTGCATTTCCTTCCCAATTAGCTAAAATTTTAAAAAACGTGTTTATGAGCTAAAGGATTTTCCTCTTAAATACATTGAGAATGAATCACAAAAGCCACACATTGATTCTGGGGTTTTTCCCCCACTTGTGTGGACAATCAGTATCTCAAAAGCCTTCCATGTCTTGCTACTGTGCTGGGTAATTTATTTATTATTTATTGTTCTTATACCCCGCTACCATCTCCCGCAGGACTCAGTGCGGCTTACAAGAGGCCAAGCCCAACAACATCATGAAAACAACAACAAAACAGTAAAGAACTCATAAAAAAGCAGAAACAATACAATAATAACACAACACATTTTAAAAACATGTGGTGGGCCAAATGTAAAAGTTTTAAAAGTTAAAAGCTGGGAAGTTTAAAGGGGATAGGAGGAATGTTCTGGGAAAGGTGGACGTGCAGACAGTTCTAAATCTCTCATAAAGTGCATTGAGGACATATTGCTTAGGATTCCTTATTCTGGGAAGGCACACCGGAACATCCACGTTTTCAAGCTCCTTCTAAAGACGGCCAATGTTGGGGCCTGCCTGATGTCTTTGGGGAGGGAGTTCCAGAGTCGCAGGGCCACCACCGAGAAGGCCCTGTCCCTCGTTCCCACCAATCGCGCCTGTGAAGCAGGTGGGATCGTGAGCAGGGCCTCACCAGATGAACGAAGAGATCGTGTGGGTTCATATACAGAAATGCGGTCACGAAGGTAGATAGTAATCCTCTCCTATCTTCAGTTCAACTTAAAAGCCCTGCAGAATGTAATACATTTGTCTTTGGATCAGTCATTTTGGGCAAGAGGAACCTCTCACAAGGTTTCCTTCGCAAAATTATTGCAGGTGAGGTTTGCCATTGCCTTCCTCTGAGGCTGAGAGAGAATGGCATTCTCAAGGAAGCCATTGAGTTTCCTTGATTTGAGTAGGAATTCGAACCTTGGTCACCAGGTCCAATACAAACCCTTACTTTCTCCAACCCTGGACATTCCACAGATATAAAAACCCAATTTTCCTAGTTTCCAACAGACCTCACAACCTCTGAGGATGCTTGCCATAGATGCAGGCAAAACGTCAGGAGAGAATGCTTCTAGAACATGGCCATATAGCCTGAAAAACCTACAACAACCTAGTGATTCCAGCCATCAAAGCCTTCGACAATACTTTACTTCATAGTTCTTGTTATTCTATGATGCAGCCTTTGAGGCATCGGGTTTTCTGCGGCTGAGAATTGTCCAAGACCTATGGATATGGCCAGAAGTCCTAAGTCGACTTTTCCCATCTTGGAGCCAGATGGAAATACTAGGTTACGACTCTCAGAAAATTCCTTAACTAGTCCCAACCCAGTGCCGATGGTTAGTATCAAGGTTAGTAAAACTGCTGCAGTTAGAACCAAGATTTTTGTTTGACCACCAGATGTCAGCAGTTGTTAATGTTTAAATACTCGACTCTTCGGTTGGAGAAGAATCCTCCACCTTGTGTGACTGTGGAGCAGAACACACAATTACACACCTGTATGCTTGTCCACAATGCCCTGCCTTATATACAGAGGAAGAATTGTTTGAAGCTACAAACAATGCGGGTCGCTGTTGCCTGGTTTTGGTAAAAAATTATTTATCCATTTGTGCTCCTATTTTTATCAGTTTTATACTTATTTATACAATGCTTTCGGCACAAAACAAAGCTTGCAGAAAACCAGAATGGGATAGCTAAAGCACCAGATCTTCTCTGAATTTGGATGCTAAGCAGAGTTGACCCTGGTTAGTATTTGGATGAGAGACCAATGAATGCCACCTGCTGCAGGCTTGACTTCAGAAGAAGAAATAAGTGTATTCCTTGCTCAAGAAAGCTC